CCACAGGGACTCTTTAATTTCCACAAATGAAGTGGAGGGTGGGGAATTGTGAGCCAACTTTTAATGAGTCCCCAGCTGTCACTTGAAGTCCTGTGACTCTTTCAGTAATGAGCCCCATCTTGGCTTCCAGGGATTGGTATGCCAGGGGGTTTGGCAGGCTGTGCAGGGAAGGGGTCCCAGCATGTTCTTTAATGCCATCGACCGACTCCTGATGAGCCTAACTCTGTTCACCTCTCTGCGTCCTCCAGGAAGTGTGCCTAGGGGCCTTGGCTGATGAGCTCTAAACGCATGGGATGAGGCTGGCGGTGGTGGGTTGAGACAATGCTTCTAATCGCCTGCTGCCCCAAGACATGGCTTCCAGCGAATTCCTGGGGCTTGTCGTTTACTTCTTTCAACAAAGACTAGCTGGCCACTAGTGCAAACTGTTCACTTCTCTTCAGGTTCTTAAACACAGATTAATAGGCAAGGACAGATCTTGTGTGTGGTAACTTTGGTAGCCCTTGTGCCTCAGGGCACTGACTCACATCAGACAGACTCAGGTGGAAATCCTGGGAATGACCTCACCTCTCCGATTCTCTGTCTGAATACGGGGAAGCTAATAGTAATAGCATCTGCCTAACGTATAAACTGTCTGGCACTTAGCACATGTTATTATTTTGTCACTCAGGGGAGCCCTGTAGGACTGTGGCCAGAAGGAACAGAGCCAGCTCACTGTTTGCCTACCTTACCCCGTGCCTTTGGAACTTATCCATCCATTCATTCACCAAACGTCATTGAGAGATTTCTGCGTTCCAGGCTCTAGAAATTCAAACACAGAGCAAGCAAGATGCGGTTCCTTCTGGTGTTTACCTTCTCAGGGGGAGAAACTAGTTTATGCAAATATGAGTTAAAGAGTCCACACGAGCAAAATGCTACTTTCTTGGACTGGCTGTAGCATCAGAGTCAACAAATAAACGGATGTTCTCTCAGAGTCAGGGTGGGCTGCGATGAAATTATTTTCCTGGATTTGGATCCTTCCCCAGTGGGGATCAGGTCCCACTGTTGCTTGTTCAGACCCCCCGTCGCGAGCACTCTATGGAGGCACATACACATGTTGTGTGTGTCCCCACAGGGTCCGCTTTGTTCAGCCATACGGCAAGGTTAACGTAATTGTAAAGCAGGCTCAGGATTCCAAACTCAGTGACATTTTACTACGTGTTTAACTTGGCTTCACTCACGTCACACAAAGCAAAGTGCAAGACAAAGTCACACAACTAACAAGGCACCGCAAGGGGTAAGAAGTTAACAAAGCAAATGCGAGGTCAGTCCGTGAGCGCACAGCTGGGATGAGGCTTCAGTCTGGTCTGGGTCAGCTCCCCGCACATGTTATGTTATTATGTTCAAGTGCTGGAGGATGATCTCTGAACATCGGGCAGACCTCTTGTGGGCAGTCGCCTTTTCAATGCGTTTAGATGTGAAAGGGGCAGCGTCTGGAGAGTCTGACAGTTTGCTGCAAAGATACTCCCCCCCCCTTTTTTTTTTAAGAAATACCTAGAGTATTTCTTTTTTTTTATGTTTATTTATTTCTGAGACAGAGAGAGACAGAGCATGAACAGGGAAGGGGCAGAGAGAGAGAGGGAAACACAGAATCTGAAGCAGGCTCCAGGCTCTGAGCTGTCAGCACAGAGCCCGACGTGGGGCCCGAACTCACGGACTGCGAGATCATGACCTGAGCAGAAGTCGGACGCTTAACCAACTGAGCCACCCAGGCGCCCTGGATACTCCCTTTTGAAAAAGAGCTGAATCCGTCTTGGGCCTCAGCAGACCTCTTTTGGCTCTGCAGGTTACCAGTCCTGGATGCCATCAGCTTGTGCTGGTTTCGGTGTATGTCTTTGGCTGTGTGTGTCCCTGCTTGACATAAGTTACTGCTTGACATGAGTGACTCCGTCTTGCTCTCTACCCCTGTTCTATCAGCTCCCCCTCTGCCATAAACTACAAAGCCCCATCAAGGCAACCTGGTGACAGGTGTGTCCACCCTGGTTCTTAATCACTGTCTCTGGCATATTATAGGTACTTGTGAGTTTTTACTGAATGAATCAGTTGCAAAATGCATCCAGAGAGAGCACATGATTTGGTCCCCTTCGCCAAATCATTGTGAGACATCTGGTCAACCTGGCGACTGCATTTTTCTAATAGCTGAACTTCAGCTACACTTTCTGAAGAACAAGAGGCCACTCCTAGTTTCTGACCACTCACCTCCGTGGTCCTGGAAGAGAATCACATTTTATTTTTCTCTTCTTTGCAGCAGCGATACAGGCATGTATCTCATCCCCATACAGTTTCAGATTCTGACGAGAGAGATGGCAGGGACCAGACCAAATTGCTATTTTGGCCAATTCAAAATGAAACTTGTTGGAGAACAATTATTCTGACAGACCTTAACTTTCTTGTGCCATGACTATCTAGCCATGAGTGACACACGTATAAGGAAGAGAGCCTGGGCCAGGTGCAGGGAATGGCCATGCCTAATCCTAATGCCTGATGCCTGCACTTTCTCACAGATCTTGGTCTCAAGAATCCAGGCTTACAAATGTGGAGGAAACTGACATAGGTTTTGGAATTAACAGAAATGGCAAGACACAGTTAAGGGATTGAAGGATTTTTTTTTTTAATGGGTTAAGAATCCACTGCATTGTACAACGTAAATCATAATCACAAAGTTAATAAAGGTCTCTGATAGGAAAGCAAGAGTCAGACTCTTGAGTAGCCCATGCAGATGGTACCAGTTGATTTGGGCCCAGTGAAGGATGAGGAAATGTCCCACAGGAAGCCAGGGGCAGGGAGCATTCCAGGCAAAGAAAACTACAAGAGCAAACACATGGAGGTGTGAGGGGCGTGAAGAAACGGAAGTGGCCAGATGGTGAAGGGGCTTTGGAGATGTCTTAGAACAATCTCACTGGGAACCAGAGAGGAGACTGGCCTGGAGGGAGATGCTGAAGAGGAAGATGGAGAGGCTGGCTGAGGTAATGGTAATGTTGAATGAATGTGAGGGACCCAATCACCCCGTATCCACAAGCTTTAGGCTTTTTGTGTTAGAAGAAAGCCCTAGATCTTGGGGTTTTATGAAATGGAACTTTGTCCCCTGTATCAGTCAGCATAAGTTCAGTATGCTGCGGTAACAACTGGTGACCTCAAAATCTTAGTGGCCAATAACCACAAAAAAATTCACTTCTTGGTCATGTTTATGGGTCAGCAGAAGCTCTGCCTGAAGGGGGTCTTCTTCACTGCAGGACCATATTTGAAGGAGCTGTCCTTTCTAGGAAGAGGTGGTCTTCTGACAAGGGCAAATTGAAGATGGAAGAACCACACGAGGCTCTTAAGATTCCTAGGGGCGCCTGGGTGGCGCAGTCGGTTGAGCGTCTGACTCGCTCAGGTCACGATCCAGCCAGGTCACGATCCAGCCAGGTCACGATCTCGCGGTCCGGGAGTTCGAGCCCCGCGTCGGGCTCTGGGCTGATGGCTCAGAGCCCGGAGCCTGTTTCCGATTCTGTGTCTCCCTCTCTCTCTGCCCCTCCCCCGTTCATGCTCTGTCTCTCTCTGTCCCAAAAAATAAATAAGTGTTGAAAAAAAAATTTTTTTTAAAAAAGATTCCTGCTTAACGTGGCACATGTCAATTCCCATCACATTTCATTGGCTCAAGCAAGATCGTGGCCAAGCCTGGATTTAATGGAAGTTAAGAATTATCATTCTCCTGCAAGGATGGGCCCAGGACTGCTTCTGGAACATTCCACTCAGCAGAAATCGGGAAAGGAAATAAAGGGTGAGCAAGCCCAATGCCAAGAAAAGGACACTAGTCTTTGGAGAAATGTCCTCTATTGTTGCCTCTGTGAACTCAGAACCCAGAGAAGGCAGGGATAGGGCTTGAGGCTGTATATCAAGGGTTCTGCATCAGTCCCAGGAAGTGCAGTATAAGGGCTTGGTTAGCAGTTCTGTCGCCTCTCACAAATGAAAGCAAATCTCCCTGATTCACAAGAGAAGTTGCTCCAGTATCCATGGTTGTGTATCATCATGCAGGCGGGGGCAGTTCCATTATCATGTAGCTTCTTGGACTCCCAGTTACTGTCAAGAGATGCCCACAAATTCCTGAGTAGATGGGCCAGTGCCTGAGCCCCCTACCCTGCTCTCTATGAGTGAGGGTCTGGCCCTAAGGTTCTTGAGGCCCCAAGTGGGAATCATTTATTGAGCCCATCTTACAGTAGTCATCTGGTCAACCCCTTCCCATTTTTTTTTTTCCAAGTGGAGAGACTGAGCTCAAATGGGAGTAGCAACAGGAAACAGTCTTCAGGGGAGCTGGGAGTCTCCAAGTTCTGGGGCCACTTTCTCTGACTCCCTCATCTCGCTGACCCTCTCCCCTTCTCTGAGGTCCATTCACCTTGAAGCCAGATTCACCCTGTCCAACGTCTAGCTCTGCCACCTGTCATCTACGTGACCAGGGCAACAGTCTTAATATCCGAGCCGCTGTTTTCCTCTTTTGCAAAATGGGAGCACATTCTGAGGATGTGATGACCAGTGCATGTAAGGTATATGGTAGGTGCTCAGGTGGCAGATGAGTTTGCCAAGGTGATTAATTATGCCCTGGGCCTGGACCCATCCAGAGCAGTTTGCCAGACAGGGAAGGGTGATGCTGGCAGATGGAAATGTCCAAAAGCAAAGAGTGTGAGAAGGCAGGTAACTGCCAGGAAGGTATAGTGGGTTCAGTGTTGTCCCCATTGAAAAGATATGCCCACATCCTAACCCCAGATATCTGTGAGTGCGACCTTACTTGGGAAAGGAGTCTTTGCAGATTAACTTAAGTGAAGGATGCTGAGAGGGGATCATCCTGGATTGACTGAGTGAGCCTCAATCCAACTATAAGTGTCCTTATAAGGGACGGAAGAGAGAAGACACAGGGGAGAGGAGAAGGGTATGTGACCACAGAGGCAGAGATTGGAGTGATGGGCCCATGAGCCAAGGAACAACTGAGCCACCAGAAGCTGGAAGAGACAGGAAAAGATCCTCCCTTACAGGCATTGGAGGGAGTGTAGTCCTGCTGACATATTGGTTTGGGACTCTGGCCTCCATAACTGTGAGAGAATACGTTTCTGTTGTTTTCACCTCCCAGTGTGTGGCTCTTTGCTACAGCGACTACAGGAAACTCATACAGTTGGCAAAGGCTACATTATTATACTCCTGAATAGGCACATCCAAGGCTCTGAGAAGTCCTGCAACACAGGACCAGTTTGGCATTGAATCTGCTGTTTCTCAAGCATTTTAAATGGGAACACCATTCCCAGGTAATAAAATAACGATAGCTGCTATGATAGAAAGGGCTTGTGTTTTGGGAGTTGCTTCAGGTAAATAGTGAATGAATGACAGGGGAACATCCGGAGTGGTCATAAAATCGCTCTTTAAAAGCCCTGCCAGTCTCTTAGGGGAAGACTGTCTTGGGTGGTTAGGGACATCTGCATCACAGACAGGGAGACTCACGTGTAGGTGGGGGTTGAGCCATCCATCCACCTGTGGTTTCCTTTCTGGCCCTCTTTGAAGAGGCCTATCCAGGATGTCACCTGCTCAGTTGATGTCAGGAAGTCCTAGATGGGAGAAGGCACAGCGCGAGGTAAAATTCCATCAGAGCTGAAAGGACAGAGGTTGGAGTGTCCGGGGACCGGAGGAGGGCTAAGGTGTAGAGGGGATTTGGGGTGGGCAAGCAGACAGAGGCAGCCACGCACAGCACTTTCTATCCTGATGCGAACTCCAGACCTACTATGTGCATATCGTATGGCCTCAGACATTTAATCCACCCCTTGGTTTCTTCATCTGTATAATGGAAAGAACAGAATCTCCACTTCATAGCATATTCTCAAGATCAAAAGAATAGACTGTGTGAGGTATGTGCACCTAGAAAGAAGCAGTGGACAAATATTGGTTGTGACTGTTTTTTAAGGTCAATGCATATCAGAGCAAGGTTTCATCTTAGGCTGTAGGAATATCTCTGGCTGGAAACCCAGCTCAAAAGACACTCTTGATGCGTTTCTTCAGGCCAAGCCTTGTTTCTGGACCAGGAGAGCCAGATATTATTTAGATCCAGCCTCACACTTACAACCCTGATGCAGTGTGAAGTTCTGTGGTGAAGGTCTCTGATGATGTCATGAGAGAATATGGAGAAGGGATGTTTGTGTTGGGGTTTTGACAGGTGAGTAGGAGTTCTCCACACAGATAGCAAGAGTAAGGGCACTGCAAACCAAGGGACCTACATGAATCAGAGCTTGGAGGCAGGACCTCAGTGCACAGGGTCCATTCCCCACATGTCACAGCAGTGAGCTTGGGTTGAAGCAAGATGAAGCAGGTCTTGAAGACCATACTAGGAGTATTGTGCTAGACCCCAAAGGGGACAGATATATGAACCCCCAAATTCTTTTATAATCCCTCTCCCAACCTGCTAAGATTCTACCTTCCGTTTCCCACCTGTTCTGCTCGGCTGTTGATGATAACCAGGTGAGCTTGCTTCTGGGCACAAGAATCATTAGCCTGGGTCCAGGTGAGGTTGTCCAGGGAGAAAAAGTAGCAGGAGCCCTGAAAGACCTTCCAGTCCAGGGGGCAAGGCTCACATGAGGATTCTGTGAGAATGGAGCCATTAGCCAAACTGGCATATCCAGTTTCCCATCCGGTGAAGGGGTGTGTCCCCCATCACCCCCGGTCACATTCCCAATGGTCTCCACTTGAACACACCCAACAGTTGGAAGCTCACTACCTGGTAAGATGGCACCCCCCATTATTGAACCTCATCAGATGGAAATAGGAAAATGCTATAGATAGCCTATGAAATGGGGAAAAGGGACTCAAGGAACAGTGTGAATAATATCCTACTTTAGTGTAAAATAGAGGCACATAAGTTTTGACATTCCTCATTTGCTTAAAGAAACTCTAGAGCAGTGGTCTTCAGCCAGAAGTGATTCTTTCCCCAGGGGACAATGGCCAACACCTGGAGACCTTTTTTGGTTGTCATAACTGACAGAAGGTTATCCCATCAGGTGGGTCAAGGCCAGGGATGCTACATTACACAGGACAGTTTCCCCCCACTGGAAGAATGATTCAGCCCCAAACATCAATGGTGCACAGTTGAAGAAACTGTGCTCTGAAGAAAAACATATATAACTATACAATATAATTACAGTGGTTCCTGGGGGTTAGGTGGGAACTCAGCAGTGAGGGCTCAGGAGTGATACAGAGAATTCTCACTGCATCCATCTATATCCAGTTAGTGAACGCACACACACACACACACACACACACACACACACACAGTAGATCTTTGTTATTTGCAGACTCCATATTTGTAAATTCACCTACTTGTTAACATTGATTGGTAACCCCCAAATCAATACTTGTGAGGTTTTCCTTGTCACTCACAGACCTGCACAGAGTGGCAAAAAGCTGGAGTCAGACAGAATAAGGCAAGTTCTGCCTTGCTGTTTCTTTTCTCATACCATAAGCAAGTGCACCTTTGGTGGGCCATTTCGTGTCATGCGCTTCATGTTTTTATGCCTTCTGTAGGTGATTTTGCTGTTTACAAAGGCCCTCAAGAGTCGTGCTAAAGCACTGTCAGTGTTCCTACATGCGCAAGAAGGCTGTGACGTGCCTTACAGAGAAAATGCGTGCGCATTAGGTAAGCTTCCTTCAGGCATGAGTTATAGTGCTGTTGGCCATGAGTTCAATGTTAGTGAAACAATATCTATTAAATATATTTAAACAGGTGAGCCTGGTGGCTCAGTCGGTTAAGCATCCGTCTCTTGATTTTGACTCAGGCCATGATCTCATAGTTCTTGGGATCGAGCCACAGGTCAGACTCAGTGTTGAAAGCACAGAGCCTGCTTGGGATTCTCTCTCTTCCTCTCTTTCTTTCTCAAAATAAATAAACTTTAGGGGTGCCTGGGTGGCTCAGTCGGTTAAGTGTCTGACTTCGGCTCAGGTCATGATCTCATAGTTGGAGCCCCCTGTCAGGCTCTGTGCTGGCAGTTCGGAGCCTGGAGCCTGCTTCAGATTCTGTGTCTCCTCTCTCTCTCTCAATCTCTCTCTCTCTCTCTGCCCCTCCCCCACTCGCTCTCTGTCTCTCTGTCTCTCTCAAAAATAAATAAACATTAAAAAATATTTTAATAAAAAAATAAAAATAAACTTTACATTTATACAGAAACACACAAAAACAAGGTTATGTATTGACCAGTTGACAAAATGTTATGACCAGGGGGTCAAGTAAAACTAATGCTGTTATTTCTGCAATGATTCAGTATTCGCCAATCCATCATTTGCAGGGACCACATAAAACATAGCTACATGAATAATAAGAACTAAATGTAGGTATACCGCATCTCATCCACTCATGCAAAAGTTATATAAAAAGTATGTAGCACCAAGAACACTCCCTCCAGCAGCATTCGATCCAGTAGTGTTTGCTTGGGGCTCAGAAATCTACACTGTGGCAAGTTCTCCAGGTACTTCTAACGTGCTGGTAAGGACTGACCACATTTTGTAACACACTAGTGTGGTTTTTGAGAGTGGAGGCTCCGGATCCTGACAGTCTGTCTTAAAGAAGATAGTGTTAATTTCCCCCCCACTTTACAGCTGAGGAAACTGAAGCTCAGAGTGGTTTAAATGGGCTGCCCAAGGTCATGCACAACCACAAGCCTAGACCAGATCTGGCTGTCTCAAAAGTCTTGTTTTCCTGGGAGCCCTCCACTCTAAGTGTGATCTGATCATGTCACGTGAACTTTCTGAAAAGATCTGAGGAGCCATTGGCATCGGGGTGCCCCTCTGAGAGCCACTTGCCACAAGCCCCACCACTGTTACAGGTGCTGTGACGGGAGCACAACCCCTCCCTCTCCACCTCCCCTCCCCCACTCCTTACCATTGCCTGCCAGTACAGCCTTCATTTGCCGGAACATTTCACCCCGAATGAAGTCCAGGTCGTGCCTGGCATGCCCCAGTCCCTGCATCACTGGGAGGCCCAAAAAGAAAGGGCTGGTCAAGGTCTTGGCAGAGAGAGGAGATTTGGTGGAGAGGCAGGAGGCTGACCATGTTGACCCCCACTCACCTTTTTCATTCAGTTGAATGACTTCCTTCTGCACCTGCTGTGTCCTCTTCAAGACTGGGGAGAGGCGCAAGTAGGTGTTCTGGATCCCAGAACCTTCCTGGGGTCTCTCCCTGTTCCCCAAACCCCAAGGGGCCAAGACTTTCTCCCGTTCCCAGAGCAAGGCATTCTGGGGCTCTGAAATGCCCCACCCATTTTTCAGATGAGGAAACTGAGGCCCAGAGAGGTAAACGTCCTTGTCTAAAGCATCCAGCTAGTAAGCGGCAAGACAGGACCTTTGTCCAGGTGTATACTTTTTAGCAGGGAGCCTGGAGTTCGAGTCCAGTTGGGGGATGAGCTTTGGGAAGACACTCACCAACAACTCAGGCTGACTTGGGCCCATGCAGGCCCCCCAGCCTGTTAGACTGGTTGGGGAGTGAGCTCCATTCTGTTGCCATTATGATCCCACTAGGGACAAAGACAGGCCACCCCTGCACCAGCCCTGCAGACCTGCCTTTGCAGGTTAGGAGCCAAGGTGCTTGCTTCCCTGTGGTCACCCTGTCCCCATTGGCCCAGATGCCTTACCTTTGGGCAGAACCACACAGAGGATAATGAGCATGAGAAGCAGGATCAGGGACACGGCCAGGCAGAGATATCTCCAGGTCTTATCCTTGGACGTCTGTCCCCATCGACCTGGGGGAAACCAGGTAAGCCTCCCTCTCCCCAAGGATATACACTCTCTCACCCCCTGAGATGCCTCAAACAGTCTTCAGGAAACTGCCTTATCCCCCGGGGTATTCTGGGTTCACTACCTACCAGACGGGAGGACTTAGAAAGGGCTGGAAAAAGAAGGACATCTCTCTAGTATAAGAAGTCACGGCGGTGACGGCGGATGGGCTGAAAAGGGGCTCAGGAAGACTCAAACCTGATATTCCCTTCCTCCAACCTGTGAGGGAATCGGGGCAACCCAGCACCCAGCTCTTCCTGACATGGAAAAGGGCCCCTGGTCCCAGCTCCCTGACTCACCAGTGTTCCCCGGCTGCGGGGGGAGTTTGGCTCTCAATGCGGTAATCTCATTGGGGTTTGGGAAGTTCCTGGCTTCAGCCATGGCTACGATTCACTCAGCTCTGAGATGCCCCTGCCCTGCAGGCTGTCGGGTGACTCTACCCGGCCCTTAGAAGGAAATCCCCTCGTCCCCAACCCTCCCACATTTGTCTTCCTTCCTGGCTCAGTGTGGGGCCCCAAGATCTCTAGATGGCCTGTGGTCAAGTAATCTGATGGGGGAAGGGACCTGGGCACCTGGGGCAGAGGTAGCAGGCACCGAGCTTCCCCTGCAAACTTGATCTCCGCCCAAGGTGGTTAAGACACAAAACAACCCAGAACTGGATCCAAATCCCTATACTCAGACCGTCACCCCTCTCTGCTTCTAACAGCTTCGTGCAAACAGTCATCCTAGGTTTGCACAGTAAGTGGTGGACATTTGGCCTTAGGAAATCACTTGTGTGACTCTTTTCTTGGCTACTGAGGCGGGTGTCACTTCCCAGCACCATTCATTCATTCATGCATTCATTCATGCATTCCTCTAGTTAGCTAGCTGATTAACTATTTATTATTTTAAAGTTGTAAAATGTTGAATATGATGCAATGACAAAGGGAGAAGGAGTTGGTATTTACTGACTGCCCTGTTTGTCAAATACCATGAAATGCCCTTTCCTTTTTTTTAGTTTATTTATTTTTGAGAGAGAGAGGGAGAGACAGAGCATGAGCCAGGGAGGGTCAGAGAGAGAGGGAGACACAGAATCTGAAGCAGGCTTCAAGCTCTGAGCTGACAGCACAGAGCCCAATGTGGTCCTAGAACTCATGAACCACGAGATCGTGACCTGAGCCAAAGTCAGATGCCCAACCGACTGAGCCATCCAGATGCCCCAAAATGCCCTTTCTTTATACATTCTATCCCATTTCATTTTCACAAAAAAACTGTCCAAGATAGAGACTGTTCAACACAGGGTAGATGAAAAGCTTGGCATGGTGAAAACTCAAGGCTAATAAAAAGCACAGCTGGGATGTAAATCAATCCTTTCTGACACCAAGCAGTTTTCCCCATCATTCTCTGCTGTGTTACCAACATCAGCATTATGCACTTGAAAGAAAGGAAAGAAAAGTTGCCTAGCCATCTATTATGAGTTGAATGGTAACCCTCTACCCACCCCCCAAAATTTATGTGTTAGAGCCCTAACCTCCGAGACCTCAGAATGGGACTTTATTTGGAAATAGGGTCATTGCAGATGTAATCAGTTAAGAGGAAATCATATGAAGGGTAGTAGGGTGGGTCCCCTCATCCAACTTGGCAGGTGTCCTTATAAAACATGGGAACTAGTCCACAAGGAGAATACCATGTGAGGATAAAGGCAGAGGTCAAGGTGATGCTTCTACAAGGCAAGGAACACTGCAGATGGCCAGCATGCTACAAAAGCCAGGGGAGATGCTAGCAACAGATCCTTCCCTTACACCCCCCCCCCCCCCCCCCCCCCCCAGAAAGAACCAAACTGCTGATGCCTGGACCTGGAACTTTTATCCTCCCAAACTGTGAGACAATAAGCTTCTGTTGTTTGAGCCCCTCGGCGTGCCGTACTTTGTTGCAAAAGCCCCAGGAAACTAACATACCACCTATTTTGCATATTGCATTGTAATCTTTAGCCACATGCATACGTATTTCACACAATTATGACCATAGTGGTGTATGTCAGAGAGTTTCCTGATGCTTCTAGGCAATCCTGATAATTTTTTAAATAGGAAAAAGTCCTCACATTTATTGGTAATCGGGAAAAACACAAACCAAATGACAAGGGAATATTATTACATGCATATCAGATTGGGGCAAATCTTTAAGTCCGTCAGGAAGTGTTGCTGGAGATACGGAGCGACTGGAACATTCCTACACTGCTGGCGTGAGTGTAAATTGGTGCAGTAATTCGGGGCGCCTGGGTGGCTCAGTCGGTTGAGTGTCCAATTTCGGCTTAGGTCATGATCTCACAGTTCGTGAGTTCAAGCCCCACGTGGGGCTCTGTGCTGACAGCTCGGAGCCTGGAGCCTGCTTCAGATTCTTTGTCTCCCTCTCTCTGCCCCTTCCCCGCTCATGCTCTGTCTCTCTCTGTCTCTCAAAGATGAATAAACATTTTAAAAAATTTTTAAAAAATGGTGCAGTAATTCTAGAAAACACTTGAGCACAGACATCAAAGCTGAGAACACACATATCCTTGGAGTTGCACTTGTAGGTGTATATCCAACACAGCTGTGTGCTTATTTGCACGGGGAGGTGTGTTCAAGAATGCTCATCACAATATTTTGTAATGGCCAAAATTGAGAATAATCAAATAGAATAGAAGAATAAGTTGCGGTATATCCATATGATGGAAAACCAGAAAACATAAATCAATGAAGATGAGCCAACAAGAGCTGTATACAGCAGCT